AAGTCAAAGTTCCCTGGAAGTCCAGTAAAGGCAGACCTAACTTAGTCAAACAGCATCATTCCCACTGCTCTACTTCCTTCTAACTTTAGGTGGTGGCATCAACATCCAGAAGAAACAACAAAAAAAAAGAGGAACTAATAAAGGAGACTGAGAGCAGTGAATATTGTTATGGGAGCCAAGTCAGATGAGGCCTGAGAACTGACCACTGAATTCAGCAACGTGACTTTTACAAGAACAAATTTAAAGCTAACTACAACTGGTTCAAGAACAGAAGCAAAGGAATTACACTCTCTTGAGGAACTTTCAATAGATGGGAACAGAGAAATGAGCAGTAGTGGAGGGTAAGGGGGGGGGGTCAAAAGTGGTTTTCTTTAAGAAGAGAGAAAAAGCACAGGGAGGGAAAAATTAATGATGAAAGAAAGAAAAAAATGTTTAAGTCACCATCAATATAACAAGTCTCCTATGTATGGACCTGGAAAGTGTTTTCCATTTTTTACTCTTATAAAAAAGCCAAGACTATGCAGTACTTAGATCTATGTGCTTATGTGCAACTATTTGCATAGAATAAATTCCTACAAGTGGACCTGCTGGACAGAGAGGTCTGCACATTTTTTAAAGTGGTACATATAGCCAAACTGACCCAAAACTGCATCAATCTACACTTCCACCAACAGTGTATGAAAATGCCTGTTCCTCTAAATTCATCAGCACTAGGCATTATCATTCCACTTACTCTTTGCAAATCTAATATAAAAAATTCTTACTGTTATTTGAATTTACATTTCTTCTAAAATAAAACTTAACCGTTTAGTTTTGCAGTTTTTTAAAAAGTTAAACATAAATTTACCAATGACCCAGGAATTCTACTCCTAGGTATCCACCCAAAAGAAATGAAAATATATGTCTACACAAAGACTTAGGCACAAATGTTCAAAGCAGCATTATTCATAATAGCCTCAAAGTGGAAACAATTCAAATGTCCATCAACCAATGAATGGATCAACAAAATGCAGTATATCCATACAACAGAATATAATTCAGCCATAAAAAAGAATGAAATACTGATACATGCTACAACATACATGAATCTCAAAAAATATACAAAGTGAAAGAAGCCAGACTGGTAATGAGCATGGAAACCCCTAAAATTGATTGTAGTGATGACTGCACAACTCTGTGAATATATCTAAAAACCACTGAATTTTACACTTCAAATGAGTGAATTGTAGGGTATGTGGATTATATCTCAATAAAGCTGTAATTTTTAAAAGAAGAATACAATCCCAAGCAGGTTACAAAATAGTAGATAGAGTAGGATCCCATTTTTATAAGATATATATATACACATATATATACACACACACGTATATGTTTTTTTATTAATATAAAAAATTAATATATTTTATGTATATGTATAGAAAAAATTCCAGAAGGGTCGAGACTAAACTATAACACTAGTTTGCTCTGGGTGGTAGGATTACAGGGCCAGGGATATTTTTCACAAGAGAAAAAAAGGATTCCGTGACCCCTTTGCTTATGGGCTTTCTTCTACTCAAGGCTGGGAGTGGCTGAACTTTTTACAAGCAAGATATATTACTGGTTTAATCTGTTTAAATTTTAAAATAATGGATTTTATAATACCTTCAAAATTATTAAATCAAGCCTTCTTGACTCATGATATGAATCATTAGTCTGTTAAATCAAGTCATTCTTTCATGCATCCTGGCCTTTTAAAAAACTAGGTAGTAATGATTATTCTAGTCACTAAAAACCAATGAATGTCTCTCTCTAAAAATGACAATGGAGCACTAGAGAGTACAACCTGTCTTAACCGAAAAGTTTCCAGGACAGGACAAGTGCTACTTGCAAAGGAAAAAAAGGAACTGCTGAAGAAACCCAGGACACAGCAATCTAGCGTACACTCGCAAGCCGAACTCCAAATCCAGGAGGCCTTTATCCTTTTAGTGAAACATGGAAGCAACACTAACCAGCTTTCTGAAAGCCATCCCCATAAGAAAGCTCGTCTTCTAGCTGGAAGTGAGAGAGATACTGGGACGGGTACCGGAACATCAGAAAGCACCTGGAAAGCTGTCGGGTGTGGTTTAGCTACCAAAACTAAGAGGGAAAACATTGTATAAAAACTTAGAAAAACGGGGAAACATTCTCTCCAAATCTTTTGTAGGATGCCCCCTCCATAAAAAATTAATTTTGAAATGTGGGGATTTTATTTAGAATGACTAAAACATTTAAATTGTATATATATTGCTAACTAGTAACAAATCTGTTTCTGCTCTATTATTAAATTTTTGCTTTAACAATACTGAAAACTATAAAGAGTATAAGTAAAGCAGTAATGACAATTCTGGTTTTAAATTCATGAAGCAATGGACAGTTCAAACTGGTTTTTCACATTTTGCCCCTTCTTCCACTCCAGTCACAGCCACCACAGCTCCGCCAGCCAACACTCACCATCCAGCAGTGACTGTTACTATACAGTTTGTTTATATCCTTTCAGATAATGCAATTATGTCTAAAAATGTATGCAATTGTAGAATTTTTATGTAAAACGATCTACATTTAGTAAAAAGAGCATAGACTGTAAGTTAGTCCGACCTAGTGAAAGTGACTACTCAATAAACTGTTTATAAAGGAATTGACTTGGACAAGACCTCACTAACCCTAGGTAGATGTGTTTTAACCTCTCTGGACTATATATATGTAAAATATATTAATATATATGCATAGAATATGTATGCATTGATATACACACAGAAAAAAATCAAGAAAGATACAGACTACACCTTATGACTGATTTTTCTCTGGGTCGCAGGGGTAGGGTGCCGTGATAAATTAAAAGCATGGATATGAAGGCATTTAATATATACTCCCCCCCATGTGGAACCCTGACATTTTCACCAGAGGAAAGAAAGACAGTGTCCTCTTGGCTTACAGAATTTTCTTTTGCTGCTTTTTGATCTGGTGCTTGTTATATTAAGTGTTCCTCCGATCCTGACTGAATCCAAGAATTAGAGGGAAATGGATAATAGTGTGGCATCTACTTACTCCTATAGATATTAGATACCAGCTTCTCACTAGTTAGATGAAGAGTAAGCAGAAAGGTTGAGAGTTAAAAAGAAAGTAGAATCTCGCTTCTGACCTCATGACTTTGAGATTCTCAAAGGTTTAGCTGACGTAAAATACACCTCCATTTTGAAGGGCAAAGTTTAAAATAACTTGGATGGAAACTACTAAAATACGATACTGTTTAGGTTATAAAGACATACTTAGCACTTACTGTATCTTCATAACCAACAGTACCACATCCATAAAGGAGGCTAAAAAACAAGTTCTGTATCATCTTACTAACTTCTCCCAGCCCATGTCATGCCGCAAACACACTCATTATAAAACTTCAAGCAAATGCTACATCTCTGGCTAAAATGCATTACCCAAATCTCTAACAGAGCAGGGAAATGGCATGGAACTTCCAACATCAGATTTTAGTTCACCCTGACTGAACAAATCTGAGCTTTGAATTCTGCTTAAAAAGGTGACAACTGATACTTATTAACTTACTCTTGTTATCCTTAGAAAAGTTTAATCATAAAATTAAACTGTTTCTCTGGCTGATTAAGTATTACTGGATTTTTATGACATTCAAATTAATTCAATAGATAAATTTAAAGTCCTTAAACTACAGGTACATTTTCTCATTTTAATTCATGAAACGACTGTCACTTAATATTATTTATATCATAATCACCCATAATGGATAAAAGAAAGTTCACCACCTATACAATAATCTGGTTAGTGGTTAAGAACAAGAGCTCTGAATGTGGACTGCCCAGGTTCAAATCCCGCTGTGCCATTTACCAACCATGAAACCTTAGGCAAGTTATAATCTCTCTTGCCTCAGTTTTCTCACCTGTAAAGTAAGGGTCATGACAGTACTTACCCCTCATGTTGTTGTGAGGATTAAGTGACTTAAAATAGTATATAAAATGTTTTGAACAACACCTGGCATATAATAAGCGCTATACAAGTGTTAGGCACTGCAAAGGGTTCCTGGCCCAGCAAGGCGTCCAAGAATTCAACTCAATTCTGACTCGGTCTACTTGAAGATAGAATCCGATTCCACAGATAAAGGACTCAGTCCCACAAGGCCGCCCTCCACTTTAGACACCCACTGTTTAAGTCCAGGTTATTACCTGTACTTCTGACTGATGGGCTACAAATCAAAAGCTCCCACAACCCCCTCCTTGGGTTTGATGAATTTTCTAGAACAGCTCACGGAACTCACATTTTACTTATTAAATCACCAGTTTATTATAAAAGGATATAACTCAGGAACAGCCAGATGGAAGAAATGCATAGCGCAAGTATGGAGGAAGGGGTGCGGAGCTTCCACGCCCTCTCTGGATACGCCGCCTCCCAGCACCTCCATGTGCTCACCAATCCAGAAGCTCTCCAAAACAGGGGTGATGAGTTGTCCTTTTGGGTTTTTATTGGGGCTTCATTCCATGGTCATGACTGACTACATCACTGGCCATTGCCAACTGATTCAACCTCAAGCCCCTCGCCCTCCCTGGAAATCACTGGGTGGAATTGAAAGTTCCAGTCATCTGATCCCCTGGCTGGTTCTCCTGGCAACCAGCCCCCACTCTTGGGTGGGGTCCAAAAGTCACCTTCATTAACATAAACAAGACACCTATATCACTCTCAACACTTGGGAAATTCCAAGGGTCTTAGGAGCTGTGAGCCAGAAATGGGATAAACACCAAAGGGATAAACACCAAATCTATAGTTCTTATAATAAATCATATCACAGGTGCTATTAATGTTATTTTGTTAAAAATTTTTACAAACTATTTCATGCTTTAAAAAGAATGTTCATTAGAGAGATTACTTATGTTCAAAAAATTTCCACTTTGACAAAAATAAGAATTGCATTAAAGTATACAATGCAGTTACACTAAAACATAAAATACAGCCTCACGTACCTGTTTGGAACACAAGTTCTTTTCCTCCTACACCTGCTGCCTCCAAGTTAATAAATGCACGAATCAAGCTGGCCCAAGGGTGCTGAGTAATGAAACCATGACTGGCCTGAATGAGAAGGAAAGAAAACAAGCATAGGTTAAACAATCTTAAATTATCAGTCTTTATTTTACTTATTTTAAAGACAGAATGTCTACGTTGATAAGGGGAAGAATAGGAAAATGATCATTTTTTCAAAGGCAGTATCTAAAGACATCTATCTGTTTCTCTCTCTATGCATAATGGCTGTGTGCAGTTTGCTGAGTGGAAAGTCACTGTCACAGGAGGCAGCCTGATTTCCATGAGTGATGCCAAACAATATCCGTAGTAAATGTGAGGCTGTGCAAAAGAAAGGGCAAAAGAATAGGAGAAGGGAAGGGATGATCTGTATGGGTCAGTATTCATGCTGTGCGCCTGCCTCAAAACATCTCTGAAACTCCAATGTCAAAGAAAACCTGAGGTGAATAATTATGCCCTCACAAAATCCTTTTATGAATCCAACACTGACAAGATGATCTGATCTAAGCTGAGTTTTCAAATAGTGAACATGTGTACATAACTGGCTATGGAATTTTTAAAGTACTACCAGGTACAATACTTCTTTTGCATGTCATTTTATGATACTACTCAAACGAATACTCAAAATGCGTGTTAGCTATTATTATTATTATTATTATACAAGCCTAGTATTTAAAACAGTAAAATCTCACTTGCAAGACATTTTCCTCAGCACCATTAAAGAGAAATATGACAGCATGATGTAAGGCTTCTGAAGATGTTGACAAGACATGAAGGACTTCCAGCATCACCGAACAGCTAACTGCATCATCACTGGCACCTTTAAATCAGAAAAAAAGATTTGCTTCTCAGATATTAAAACCTTTACAGTATGAACCATCATGGCTAGGAATGAGGTGTTCTCATCAAGGAAGCATCACAGTAGCTGTTAAGACCAGACGCATAGGTCTGTTATCAGGTTACAATTACACTCACCAGTGGTAAACTCCATGAGGGCGGGGATCTTTGTCTGGTTTGCTTGCTGACTTACTCTCAACGTCTAGAACCATGCCTAGCCAAGAGCAGTCGCTCAATTAATATTTGTTGAACAATCAACCAGATGGGACCTAAATTAATACTGAAAACTGGCATTTTCATCAACACAAGGCAATTTGTTTCATTCCTTATCCTTATTGCACATCCTCTGTAATACTCTCACTTCTGATGTTCACAGCTTCCTATATCATCTCCCACTGCCATCCACTCCTTTCCTGCTTATTTTCCTGCCAAAATCATAAAAGCTGCTGATCGCTCCGCATTTACAGAGCGGTCAGTTTGGATGGTGTAGCATTTTTTAAGGTTTCTCCAAGGGGATCATGTGATGAAAAACTACAAAGACGACCCCAAATCTAATAAGACACAGGAAAAGAGACTAATGACCTAAGTATTATCCCTGGTCCCAGCACTGATAAAGTAGAGGACCTCATCAAATCACTTAACTTCTCCTTGATTCTGAAACTTTACATATTTATTAAAGGTGATTATATAGATGACTTTAGTGCCTTGATTTTTTTTAAAGCCCTGTAAGAGCAGTTAAAGGAACTGATCAGATATTTGATGATATTGAGGAATTATTGTTTTTTAGGGGAGGTAATTCATGATATTATGAACATGTCAAAAAAGAGCCTTATCTTTCAGTGATATAGACTGAAATATATATGGAGAAAACAATACAGCTGAAATATGCTTCAAGATAATCAAGAGTTGCCCAGGTTGGGTAAAGAAACAAGATCAGACTGTTGAAGCTGGGTGATAGGTACACTCAGGTTCATTAAACATTCTGTTTTTGTATATATTTGAAATTTTCCATAATAAAAACTTCAAAGAGTCATCAAGGTAAAGAGGCACAGTAATAACCGAAGCAATTGCATTTCTCAGTTTACACAGTGTGAGGCAGGGTGCTACAGAGTTTAGCATGGGTTTTAGAGTAACCAAGACTTGGAAGTAAATTCTAGCTCTGTCATTTACCCTACAATTTCCTGGTCTAGAAGGCAGGCTAATGATACCTACTTCACAGGTATGTTGTGAGGATTACAAGATAATGTGGTCCACATTCAATGTTAGTTTTTCCTTCTCTTTGCAAACTTAAGGAAGGCTCTGCAGCCAGCCAAAATGCTTATATTGGTGCTGTTAAATTCCAGACCCCATTCCTACCCAGGAAGTAACTACTTATTAGCTATAATTGTCTTGGTAGTGATTACTGGATTGTATTTTAATCAAAGTAAAACAAAGTAATAATTATCTAATTATCATCAAGCAGGAAGTATATGTAGCTATTAGTAAAAAGTGCCCCCTTCCAGGAACCAAATGAAATTAATGGTTTTTAACTTGAAGACTCTGAGTTACTTTAAAACAAAAAGAAGGGCCGGCCCCGTGGCTTAGCGGTTAAGAGCTCGCGCTCGGCTACTGGCAGCCCGAGTTCGGATCCCAGGCTCGCACTGATGTACCGCTTCTCCGGCCATGCTGAGGCCGAGTCCCACATACAGCAACTAGAAGGATGTGCAGCTATGACTTACAACTATCCACTGGGGCTTTGGGGGAAAAATAAATAAATAAATAAAATTTAATAAAAAACAAAAAGAAAACAAAATTTTTCTTTATTCAAAGTAAGAGGGAAACTGAAAGAGATACATCTAAATAGGGTTGATTAAAAAGTTAAACTGTCCATTTATCTTCCTTCATTTTAATGGTTCTGGTGTCTGAGAACAAAACTAAAGAAGAGTCAAATATCATTAAAAAAGTGAAGGAAAGTTAGAGGACAGTATGTCTAAGGGCTGGGTGGTTAACCGACATCCCTTTCCATTTAGAATTAACCCTGAAATTGAAACCACACGTAAAATAACTCTACGTCTCTTCTACCAACAACCTGGAACCACGCAGCAAACCCAAGATCTTAAAGCCTTTCTCTGGGTAACATTACTTCTAACTGGTATCAGTTCCTGAGTTCCAGATACATTGCCAAGAAGAACTTTTAAAAAGTACCCAAATTTCTTTTTTTTTTTTTTTTCCTTTTTTTTTTTTCTGAGGAAGATCGGCCCTGAGCCAAGATCTGCCAATCCTCCTCTTTTTGCTGAGGAAGACTGGCCCTGGGCTAACACCCATGCCCATCTTCCTCCACTTTATGTGGGACACCTGCCACAGTATGGCCTGACATGTGGTGTGTCGGTGTGCGCCAGGGATCCGAACCGGCAAACCCCGGGCCGCTGAAGCGGAGCGCACGCACTTAACTGCTTTCGCCACTGGGCCGTCCCCCCCAAATGTCAATTAGTTCATCCACTAAAAGGATTTAGGTGATAAATCCTTTTCATGAGTGTGTTTTTTAACTATTTTTAACAATTTATTATTGACAGAAATTTTCCTTGATTTTTTTTTTGTGTGTGAGGAAGATCAGCCCTGAGCTAACATCCATGCCAATCCTCCTCTTTTTGCTGAGGAAGACCGGCCCTGAGCTAACATCTATTGCCAATCCTCCTCCTTTTTCTCCCCAAAGCCCCCAGTAGATAGTTGTATATCATAGTTGCACATCCTGCTAGTTGCTGTATGTGGGACGCAGCCTCAGCATGGCCGGAGAAGCAGTGCGTCGGTGTGCGCCTGGGATCCAAACCCGGGCCGCCAGTAGCAGAGCACGCGCATTTAACCGCCAAGCCACGGGGCCGGCCCCAGAAATTTCCTTGAGATTGTTGGTATAGGTATTCTTATAAAATTTTAGTTAAAAATGGGTTCCAAACACCCACAGAAATGCCATCCTTTCATTATTGGATTCCATATATGTGGCTTGTAACATCTGGCACTACATTTCTGATATTTGTATATACATCTTTCTTATATAACACTCTTAAAAAACCTTGGTGTTAATTTTTCCCTTCTGAGAATTTAAGCATCGTAACAGTGGGCACAGGGCAACACATTTTATTACCACTTTGAAATAGGCATAAAAGATCTCTGGTTTCCCCAACACACACAAAGGTATTTCTGACTTTATAAAACAGATGTGTGAATACTGATTTTTGAAAAAGCATGTTACATTCTGAATGCAACGGGCAAGCTTTCTGATTAAAGATTTCCTAGTATATATCATTTTATCAAGCAAATAAGTTTTATATTTTGTATAACTCTAGATGTTCATATTGGGCCTGCTATAAATTTAAGCAATCTGGAAATATTAATATTAAATAACAATCGCAAAAAACAAAAAAAAAAGAATTTTTTGTGCCAGACACTATTCTAGTGCTTTACTTGTATTTAATGCTCATTCAATCCTCTAAACAATGCCATTAGGACAGTACTATTATTATCTCCATTTCACAGACCAGAAACTGAGGAAAGAAGAAGTTAAGTAGTTTGCCAAAGGGAGCATTAACTATACTCTATTACTCTCCATCCTTTCAAATGTAGCTGAAAGAACCGACTGGCCAGGAAACCCAGCACGTGGTCCCACCTCTGTCTCTGATCAGTGGTGATCAGCTAAGTTTATTGCTGTGTCAATGAGGAGGTTGAACCAGATGCCATCCCAGGTCTCATCTACCTCTAAAATGCTATGATTCCATTGTAAAATGCTACTCTTTTCTATTCCTCCCTACTTACAATCTCTTTCTTTAACTACTGAAAACAACATTCTGATGAGTCTTATTTTTAAAAATGGAAGTTCAATTGAGGAGATTCTCATTCATTCAATAAATATTTATTGTGTCACACACTGTCCTAAACATCAAATATTCTATTTTGTCGAAGTATTTTCAGAGCAAGATTTATGGATTAATGAAGTACTCTAACAGTACAGCATCCCCAGTAGACCAAAATTCTCACTTCACAGATCGACAGAAACTGCTAGGAGAGATGTTCTCCAAACTCTGCGTCCCCTGAAGGCAAGGACTGTTCCTTTATCCTGTACCCCAAAGCCTACTACAATACCTAGCTGAGTAAACACTTGAAGTGGCAGAACCTAACTCCAGGACTCATGGACACCTCCTGGTAACACCGATAAAACTGTTTTAGTCAACCAGAATCACTCCCTGTCCTGTCACTGGGCTGCTGGCACTAATGTTTACACAATAAATAAAGCACTTAAGAGAAGAGTGAGGAGTTAGATCTTAAACTAAATGATACTATTCTAATTATCCTGCCTTCCATCACAATGAAAAAAGGTCTGTCCAAGAAAATGGTGCCCCACAGGTGCCTAGGCAGCTTCAAGTTAATGAGCTTTCTGGGCTGTGACATCAAAATGACTGAAAAATAGGTACCTACCTGGTGAGTTTGCCACTGAGTCAAAATGACAGTTAGCCAGGACAGCATGCTGGGCTCCATCTCTGGGCTCCAGCTTTACCACAACGTTGGTGATATTGTCATAGTAGCTTGTAAAACCTCCCAAGAAGTCAATGCTAAAGGAGCCTGTGGGCCGCTGTACATCTACTGAAATCTTGTGAAGGCTGTTGCTTTGAACTTCAATCAATTTAATCTGTTCCAAAAGGTAACGCACCGTCAGAATTTCATTTTCTGGACTTCCTGTAGTCCTGGGGCCAATGGATGTTATGTGTTCAAGATAATCCCTAGAAGCAACCAAAAGAATGATGATGACAAGACGTGCTAGGCTTACCACTCAGCACAGAGCAACTTTTCCACTACATTCCCCCTTTCCCCAAAAAAACAAGTTGACTTCTCACATAAAAAAGGCTGCCATTTAATATTTCAGGTACCCTGTGAAAATCACTTGTTAACTTCCATCATTTTACTTTGCCTCCTATGAGTTTATCCCTTCGGTTTTCTCCACCCACCCTACTCCCAAATTCTCCCAATCCCCATATCCAATCAATACAAAGACCAGGGATTCCATTCAAAATGTGTAACTGCTGAAGGCTAGATAGGACAGCATACAACTCCACTGTGCCACACTCTGGAGGGTTACTGATTCTGGGTTGCTGATTCTAAGTAGCAGAAACCAGCGAACAAAGACAATTAAGTCAAGAGGTGAGATAAGCGAAGAAAAACTTTTGATTGTCAAGAATGGACTTAGCCCTCCTAGTACGCACACAAGGCCTCATAACTTCAATTTAGGCCAAAACCAACTCTACCCCTAAAACAAACAAAATTTTTTGTCTTTTCACTGCATTCCAAGAGAGGAAAAAAGAGGGTGGGGGAGGTGTATTCCAGAAAGTCCTTAAGAAAATAAGCTTCCAGCACTTTGTACTCAAAAGAAAAAGTTTTTAAAACGGTGGCTGTTGAATGCTCTGCTTATGATTTTATGAGCTTTGACACACTTTGGTTACAATACCTTTGACTTAATCACCTTTCCTAGCATACTTATGGGTCTTTTTTTTTTTAATTGAAAAAAAAGAAACCTTACACACCAGGGGCCCAAGGACAAGCTCCAGGAATCTGAGCACTTCTGAAACTGTAAAATTTTGAACGTGCGGTCTTCCAGGGGAGCCTCCATAACTTCCAGGTTTCAGGACTGTGACCCTCAAAAAGTTAGACCACTGCATTATCCCCTTCCGACAGCTCCCCCAAAAACCGAATTTATAAAATGGTCTAAGTACACAAATTTCACTCTTCATTTCATTTGGAAAGCAGGATGACTAGTAAAAAGTGGAAGTTGCTCCAGAAAATGGGGGACGACTACCAACCAACCATCTGCAGGTGTGGCAGAAAGAGGATGGAAAAAAAGAGGGTGGAAAAGCAGGCGCAATTCCCCTGGCCACCTCCATCTGCACCACGAGCTTAACAGTGGACCACGCAAGCCCCGAGTCGTGTAAATTGGGACTCCAGAAGAGGGACGCGCAAGGCCACCCGACCCCACGTGCGGCCGGGCGGAGCCGGCGAGCCCGGGCGGTCCCGCAGGGCGGGCGCACGCAGGTGCAGTGCCCGGGCCTGGCAGGGGCCGCAGAGGGACGCATCGCCGGGAGGCAGCGGCCGGTACCTGGCTTGGCGCGCGTCGAACTCCCCGCGGTGCCCAGGGGGCCCGCGCAGCACGAGCTGCTGCAGCGAGAGCTGCACGAGCGTCCGCAACGCGAGCAAGTAAAGCGCCAGCCCCAGCGCGGCGCGCGCCTCAGACAGTCCGCTCCCGGCGCCCCGGCTCGCGGCGCCGCTCCCCTCCCCGCTCCGCTTCCGCGTCCTTGCGCCGCCACCGCACGAGTCCACCACGGAAGCCTGCGCCGGGGCCTCCCTCTCCGGTGGCGGCGTGGCCCCCGGGCCGTCCCGGCGCTCCCCACCGACGCGGTGCCGTCTCACAGCCGCCGACTCCGAACCCCACTCCATGGCCACGAGCCTCAGCCGCCAGCACAACCGTCCCTGCCCGACACAGCCCCGGCAGCAGCCGCGGCCGCCGCAGCGCCTCCTAGTGAGCGGACGGAAACTGCAGAGGGCCAAACTTCTTCTGATTGGCTCGTCCCGCCGCCCCGCGACCTAGCCTCTGGGCAGGCGGCCGGCGGGCACCGCGGCGGGTCCGGCCCTGGCCGAGCGTGATGGATGTGCCTTCTCCTGCAGGGCTTCTCTGCCTGGTGTAGGACAGAGATTTCCAAAGGGAAAGATACCCGAAACCTGAGAAAAGTGAGATATTGCCTTTAAAAGAATGCACATGATGCCCCAGGCAGATGAAGAAGGCAATGGAACCTTAGAACAGGCTCTGGAAAAAGTAGGCTCCTGGCTCTTAAAATTGGGAATAGGACTGCGCAAAGGAGGCCCAGCCTCGTGCTTGCACATACGTCATCTAATCACAGATCTTCATAACCGTGTGAGGTCACCAGCACTATCATTGTCTCTTATTATTCCCAGCTCTCCAGCCACACTGGCCTCTTGCCAAGTCCTTCCTGCTCACCATCTTTCCTTCTACAACAGGATCTTCTCACATGCTGTTTGAGTTTCCTGGAATGTTCTTCCCTCCCCTCATTGCCTAGTTAACTCCTATTTATCCTTAACATCTCAGTTTAAGTGGTACTTCCTCAAGCAAGAATCACCTAATCTAATGAAGCAGGTGTCCCCGTATGTAGGCTCTCATAGCACCATGTGTGCATGTAATTACTTAATATCTTCCTCATGAGACTGTAAATTCCTTGTAGGCAGGAATCATATCTGGTTTTGCTCACCATTTTATTTCCTCCTCTTAACACAAAGCATGATATGTAGTATGTAGTCAATAAATATTTCTGATTGAGTGAATAAATGAAAACATAATTTTATGGCAGCAGTGTAATTTTAGCTTGATGAGATCCTTTTTAGTCTGTAAGGTCCATGAAACCAAACACAATGTCTTATTTATTCATCACCATGTCGCCAGTATTTACCTCTGTGCCTTGCCCATGGTCGTCACTCAGTACGTAGTTAATGAATAAGCAAATGAATACATATTATCTTTATAAGAACCAGCTGTCTTGGCTATTCTCTTTCCAAAACCTCTGGCGCCTCCATCATCTTTGGAAGATAAGATCTCAGAAACGACTCCTTCACTGCAGCATAATGAGATGTGGAGGTCTCTAGTGCCTAGGGTAAGGGCACAAATGTTTCCTGGTCTTTTAAGCTTTACTTATCTTATGCTGCCAGTTGCTGGGCTGGTGAATGTCAGAAAGGATAAGAATAGGGCCAGCCCCATGGTTTAGCGGTTAAGTGCGCGCGCTCCGCTGCTGGCTGCTCGGGTTTGGATCCCAGGCGCGCACTGACACACCGCTTCTCTGGCCATGCTGAGGCCGTGTCCCACATACAGCAACTAGAAGGATGTGCAGCTATGACATACAACTATCTACTGGGGCTTTGGGGAGAAAAAAATAAATAAATAAAAATTATAAAAAAAAAAAGAAAGGATAAGAATAAGATGCAACTCTCAGGAGCTGTGTTGCTGGTTAAATCATTTGAGCTCTCTTTTTCTGAATGGATCATGTATGTTAAGCATCTCTGACAATATTTTGTGGGAGGCAGTGTACCACAGCAGAAAAAACCCTGGCTGTTAGAATCAGATAGATCTGAGTTCCTGAATCACTAACCTTCAATACACATGGCATTACAGTCCCAGAGTCTGTGTCCTTAATCTGTGATAATGGAGATAATGTCTGCCTTAAAGAGCTTCAATGAGGATTAATCAGCTAAGGCATGTGAAAGATCTTCACACATAAATCTCATTAAATACTATTTTCCAGAATTTTCCTTCTTATACAATCCTTTGCAGATTAGATTAAAAGCCATTTTCCTGTCACGTTAATCAGAGGGCCCCTCATGGTGAAAGTTGAGTTGTTACAGTCGGGGTCTTAGAAGGCAGTTTTTCTCTAGACTTGTATAAACTGCAGTATTCACATTTGAGTATTTTAAAGGTACCAGTTGTTGGATATCTACTCTGTGTAGGATACTGATCAAGGTGGGGAAACATAAACAAGAACAAATCAATGTTTCTGCCCTCATAGAGCTTACATTCTAGTGGGGAGACAATAAACAAAGAGTGTTGGGGGAGGGTGAATAAAATGTCGGATAAAGTGCTATGAAGAAAAATAGAGCATTGAGAATTGAGAGTGACAGGAATTGAGAGTGACAGAGGTTGCTGTTTTAAGTATGGTGATCAGGACAAGCGCTCTGAGGAGAGGACATTTGAGGTGACGTGAATGAAGTGAGGAATGGGGCCATAAAAGCCTGAGGAAAGAATGTTCCAGGCAGAGGGAAATGAAGTGGGATGTTCAGAGGCAATAGTGAGTAGGGCATGTGGCTAAAGCAGACTGAGCAGGGGGACAGTGACAGAGGGAAGGTCAGAGAAGTAGGTAGGGGCTAGTGCAAGGAGGGCCTCCTGGGTCACAGCAAGGACTCTGGGGTGGTTTTGAGCAGCAAAAGGTCATGCTCTAAATTACCTTTTTTGACATCACTCAGAGTCTCAGTGCTGGGCAGAGCAGCACAATGACCACACGTAGATCGTAGAGGCTGATAAAAAACTTGGCTAATGTCTGGCCTTTGAAGTGTTTGAGGCCATAGATATGCAGTTTTATTTGTGTGGGAAGTACACCACAGTGAATTGAAACACATGCTCTAGTTCCCACATATCAAATTGCTGATGAGGATGGAACGGGATGTGAAAGGCTTCGGCTGCCCCATCTGGTGAGCTATTGATCACTGGGATTGACTCAGTTCATCTGGCTTGTCAGACAGTTATGTTTTTCTTGTGTGTCCCTTTATGACAAAGTGAGAGCTAGACCGACGGACAGGCTTAGAGATGTCCCAAGTCCCTTCTAGGAAGTCCCAGTACTCCCCGTACTTCACTCACTGGCCACGGTGAGTGAAAGGACACACAAGCTGTCAGGATTCAGGTGAATCGCCAGTCTCTGTCTTTCACAGAGGTCACCACATAGCCTATGTGCCTCCTTCCTTGGAAGAAGAGCTACTAGGGCACTTGGTGAGAGTTCTCTGGGCCTGAGGCTGGCAGAACGATGCCTTTTACCTGATGTTACAGTGACATTAAAATCAAGGGAGGTGCCAAGCCAAGCGATGAGAAGAGAATCCAAACCAGTTGCAAAAGGCAGAAGCAGATGTCCAAAACTGACAGGCAGAGCAAGTCAAAGGTTGAGCAACCAAGAATAAAGATTCTTAATGCAAAAGAGATCTTGGGTAAACATTTTAGACAGGTACTGTTGCCTACTGCTGGGTTTTATGTGCTCACTAAGGTGGTATGAGGGTGGGCCAGCTTTGTTTAAAGGGCCAGGGATGGAGCTCATGTCCAGGTTTGGGAGACACCGCTAGTTTTTGTGGGGTTTTTTTTGGGGGGGGTTAGATCCCCTCAGGCTTAAGCAGGGGCCTCAGGGTGCTTGTGGACAATTGTCTTCCCAACTACAAAGCTCTGCAATGGAACATATGGGAGCTGGTGACAATGATCAGCTACATGAAGCACCTCCAATAAGCCAGGCAGCCTGGGAGCTGACAGTGCTGAGCTGTGTTTGGAGCCTTAGGGAGAGAGCGATGGCGCCCCACTCTTCCCTCTCCTTCAAACTCTGGGTTGGTCCCTCCTGCTCCCTAGTTCCCTATAGCTGGTGACCACCTAGGAGGTAGAAAACCAGTCCAGCTACATTACTAGCCAAAACCACCGTGTCAGATTACCTTTTTCTGTGGCCGATTGGAAATGAGATTGTCTGATTTTTGGAAGAACCTATATCTGGCTAACAAGGCCTTTTGGAAACAAATAGGGATGAGAAAATTGCCTCTTTGGGGTGAAAAAGTCAAATTGGAACCTCACACCATATTACACGCCTAAAAAAAAAAAATCAAGTAGAATTCAGAATTGAACATAAACACAGTTTTTTAACTGATGAAAAAATAAGGTAAACATAATTGAATCATAATAATTAAGACTCAAAATGGACAAGGACTCTTTAATCAAAAAGAAGTAGAAGAAATCATAAAGGGAAAAATCACATGTTGACTACACAAAATTGAAAACGTCTATATGTCAAAAACAATCACCAAAAAAATGAAAAGTCTAATGACAAACTTGGAAGGTTATTTTCAACAATTTTTTTTTTTTTTTTAGTGAGGGAGATCAGCCCTGAGCTAACATCCATGCCAACCCTTCTCTTTTTGCTGAGGAAGACTGGCCCTGGGCTAACATCGCTGCCTATCTTCCTCCACTTTATATGGGACGCTGCCACAGCATGGCCTGACGAGCGGTGAGTTGGTGCGCGCCCGGGATCCAAACCTGGGCCCCCAGCAGTGGAACACATGCACTTAACCGCTACGCCACAGGGCCGGGCCCTCAACAAATTTTAAAAACAAGGGAATAATATGCTTTATATTCTCTCTGTCTCTACATATAGATAGATGATAGATTTAGTTTATATTTATATTTTATTATATATTATATAATTTATTATAATTTAATCAATGTACTTAATAGATATTAAAAATCAGTAAGAAAAATACCAATGCCTCAATAGAAAAATATGTAAACCATTCACCCTTTATCTCAAAGGAACATGTGAAAATGTGGACCATTTTTAACTTATCACATTGAAAAAGTTTTGTGTATTTTGTTTTTAATTATAATATACACTGCTGGCATAGTATAATAATGGGCAGTTTTATATGATGCAAGTGGGATACATATCAGGATGACCTTTGTGGGAAGCAATTTGTCAAGATGTACCAGGAGCCTTGAAAGAATTCACAGTTTTTGAAGTATTTTCAGATGTAGGAATCTATTGAAGACGTGAGAAAAAAGAAAATGCAAAAGAATGCTCATCTATAAAAATCAAAATATGTGGAAACTACTTCAATATATAAAAATAAAAGAAAGGTCAAATAAATTAGAGCACATCCAGAGTGTGGAACATCATGGAGTATTAAATACAACATTATCAAAGTCTATTC